AATGCAAATGTATTTTTAGTTTTTGACCATAGATACCCTTTATATAAACAGTCGTGTGAAGAAGAAAGTACACCCTCTTTGAATTCTATAGTTTTATGTATCAGAACATAATAAAAATCATTTGGTCCTTAGCAGGTCTTACAATTAGGTAACTACAACCTCCGATAAACAACAACACATGACATATTACACCACGTAATAATTTATTTTACAAACATAAAATGGGGCATCTGGGTACCCCTTTACTAAAAGGGGCTTGTGGGAAAGAGGCCCTTGTCCCAATCGGCACGGGGACAAGGTGCTTTTCCAGGATGGGAATTTTAAGGAGATCTTAAAATTCCTACTAGACCTTAAGGGCCTGGTATGACTTTGAGGGGGGACCCTATGCATTTTTTTTTAAATTGTAACTTGGGGTTCCTTTCTAAACTTTCTACCAGACCTAAAGGGTCTGTTATGACTTTTGGGGAAAACCTCATGCTTTCTTTTTTTTTTTTTTATGGGGTCCCTCCTATAATTCCTACGCGACCTAAAGGGTCTGGTATTGTTTGGGAGGGGGAACCGCACGCTTTGTTTTCTTTTTAAATGCCTTTTTTTTAAATTTAATTTTTATAAATGTCAGTTTTGCTGCAGCAGTTTCTATACATCATACAGATGCGCCACTTTACAGGCTGGTTAAGGGGACCCCCCAGGCATGATATTTAAAGGAATTTTTCATTTTTATTGTTTCACTTTAAGCAATGTTAAAATCACTGCTCCTTCAAAAGCGGTATTTTTAAAAAGTGTTTTTTGCATTGATTCCTGTCCCCCAGGGCAGTACCCGAATCCCCATACACTTTTTATGGCCAATAATTTGCATATAAGCCTTCAAAATGGGGACAATTGTTTTTGACTTCAATGCACTGCCATGCCCCCTCCCATCCCAAAACAAAGTAAGCCGGCCGGAATGCATTTCAGTGCGTTCCGGCACAAATTTGGCCTGGAACACTAGGATTGACAGCTGTCCAGGATTCACCTGCATCACCTGTATTCACCTGTTTTGAATGCTGAATGCTGTGTCCGGGTTTCATGGCAGCAGAAACACATACACAAGATGTCAGGCAGGCAGGGGCAACCAAAACTAAGATAGGGGCTACTGGCCTCCCACTGAAAATAGTCTAAACTGTGATATTTACATATGAATAAGCCGCGACTCATTTTCCCACCAAAAACCAACGCGGCGCTAGAGTGTTCGGGTTGTTGCGCTTGAGGAAAAGGTGGCAACCCTACGGAACGCTCTGGGGCTGCTGTAAACTAGTCCTACAATGTGTGGACATTATGTTAGCATTATTTTAGCTTTTAGGTTGGCCATACAAAAAGACTGAAGGAGGCCTTGTGACTGATGGGCAGTCTGACACACACAGAACCTGTCCCATCTTCCTATATACCATAGAAGCAGCTGGAGAATTGAATCCCTTCAAGGCATGCTATGAAAACAAACCCTGTCAGTTTGTGTGGCATTCAAACTTTTAGCTATAGCTTTGAATAGGGAAGTCAAGGTAGTGCTATGTATGTGTGTGAGGTGACATTGTATGACAGGCCAAAGGGGGGGGGGGGGGGGGGGGGGTTCGCACACCGGG